TTGGTGCGAAAGGCTAAACGCTCAGACATAGTCGTTCTAGCTGGTGACTTTAATGCTCAAGTAGGGAAATTGTGTCAATCTGAGAAGGATGTCGGTGGCACCTATGGAGCTCCGTGCCAGCGAACCGACAACGGTGACCGTCTCCTACAGTTCTGCTCTGATAATCATTTGTTTCTTGTAAGCACTAACTTCAAACACAAGGAGAGACACTGTTTGACTTGGAGACCCCCTTCATCAAACCAACGCTGGACACAAATAGACCACATAGCAATAAGCTATCGTTGGCGTGGGTCGGTAGGAGATTGTCGCTCCTTCTGGAACACGTGTGTAGATACCGATCACACACTGGTCCGCGCTCGGGTGTGCTTACGACTGAACGGACGTAGGAAACAGCTGGCGGTAAAACCATCACGTCCCCAGCTCGATCAGGAAACTAAATCCGTATTTCAGGAAGAACTAGCTAAACACATATCTGTGTTCGACAGCTGTGCTCACCCTGAAGAAGCTTGGAAAAATATCCAGGCAGCCATAGATACAGCTGTAAAAGCTGTGAATAAGGTAAACCCAAAGGTGAGTAAAAACCACTGGATCTCCACCGCCTCATCCGAACTGATAGATGCTAGAAGACTTATTCCGGCGAGCTCCGAATTCAATGAGGAGCGAAAGCTGCACAAGAGGAAACTTACGAAAAGTCTCCGCAAGGACCGTGAACAGTGGTGGGCGACAAAAGCCAAAGAGATGGAGAAAGCTTCGAGGATAGGCAACACCAGGCAACTCTTTACACTCATCAGGGAAACGGGTGGGAGAAGACAAATCATTAGTGAAACAATCTCGGAAAAAAATGGCACTATAATTAGCTCCCAGGATAGACGACTGGATCGTTGGAAAGAGCATTATGAGGAGCAGTTTAATTGGCCCACAGCCACGCTCAACCTTCCGAGCATCCAACACCTCCCTGAATGGGATATAGACACAGGTCCTCCATCCCTAACTGAGGTTACTAAAGCTGTCACCAATCTGAAACTAGGCAAAGCAGCGGGACCTGATGGAATGACTCCAGAGGTATTTAAGTACGGTGGAGACAGTTTACTGTCTGCATTAACTGAGGTACTAGGCAGCGTCTGGGAATCAGAAGAAGTCCCATCGGGTTGGTGTAAGTCACTGATTATCCCGATATACAAGAAGGGAAACAAGTCTTCCTGTGTGATAGGATCCCACATATTTTGGTATTGACTGTTTAAACTTGCATATATGGTATGTTATCATTCTCACGCATTTTGGTATTGACTGCTAGTTTTGTATATTATCATTCTCACGCATTTTGGTATTGGCTGCTAATTTTGTATATTATCATTCTCACGCATTTTGGTAGTGACTGCTAATTTTGTATATATGGTATAATATCATTCCCACACATTTTGTTACTGACTGTCAATGTCGCACATATGGCATATTATCATTTCTCACACACTTTGTTATTGGCTATTAAGGTCAATTATTTCAAATGCTGTTAGCTGTCCATATTGTTGTAAAATGTATAAATACCATGGCTTTCTTTATCGTTGTGCACCTCAATACACAGTCACAGTCCAGCCTTTGTCTTTTGATATTTGCGTGCTTGACTAAGTCGGAAGGTACGACGAGCAGATAGACAGATTAGTTCAGGCGCAGACAGAATAAGGTGAAAACGTCTATCATTCAATTTCCTACCGCTATAACAAATTGGCGACGGGGTTTTACCTTAATTTAGTGCAGTTATAACAAATTGGCGACGGGGTTTTACCTTAATTCAGTGCAGTTATAACACTGTGATAATCACAGAGGGATTAGCTTGACTAATATAGTATCTGTTTTGTTCTTCGTTATTACTCCTTTGTCTCACCCCTCTCCTCACTGCCTCTATTATGCTTTTCTTGTACTTTCTTCTCTTGCTTCGCGTGCTACACGGAGTGTGGCGACTTGAACTTCCGCACATTTGTGCAAAGTTCTATGTCGAAAACAGACAGACAGAATATAGTATGTAAAGTCCTAGGCTCAATAATCATGCGTAGACTGAGTGGTGCTCGGGAGGCACAAACACGGGAGTGCCAGGCAGGCTTTAGACCAGGAAGAGGGTGTATTGATCATATCTTCACCCTCCGACAGATTCTAGAACATAGGAATTCCTACCGGCGTCCAACAGTCATTATATTTCTTGACCTAAAGGCAGCATTCGACTCTGTCGATCGAGAAGTAATCTGGAGATGCTTGACTGTAAAGGGAATCCCGAGAAAATGTATTGCACTGATTAAGGCACTCTACTCTTACTCATACAGCCAGGTGAGGGCTTACGGCGAGCTGTCATCTGCACTGGTGACGACCAGTGGTGTCCGTCAAGGATGCCCATTATCCCCTTTTCTATTCAACTTCATTATAGATGTGTTAATGGACTTAACCCTAGGTGACTTCAGCGACTCAGGGATTGACTTGCTACCGGGGAATAATCTCGTTGACTTGGAATATGCAGACGATATAGTCCTTCTAGGCGAAGACGCTGACAAAATGCAGAGTCTTCTAAACACCCTGATCAGCAATCTACGAATGTTTGGCATGCGATTCGCTCCCGCCAAATGCAAGATGATGTTACAGGACTGGACTACATCGACGCCTAGTTTAGAAATAGGAAGTGAAGTGGTAGAGCACGTTGACCGCTTCACTTATTTGGGAAGTACCATCAGTCAGTGCCAACGGGTTGATCTCTGACGAAATCTCAGCACGGATGCAGGGGGCTCGTTTCGCATTTGTCAGTTTACGCCGTCTCTGGCGTAGACGAGATGTTCGACTGTCGACCAAAGGACGTGTGTACTGCTCATCAGTCTGCTCTGTCCGTCTTTATGGCTGTGAGCCAGACCTGGCCACTGAGAGTGGAAGACATGAAAAGGGTGGCTAGCTGTCTTTGATCATAAATGCCTGCGTTTTATCTACGGTATGAAGTGGCATAACAGGGTGAGAAATATTGAAGTTAGGCGTCGAGTTCTAGGTAAACAGGGGAAATCAATCGACGAAGTTGTGAAGTTATAAAGACTGAGATGGTTAGGACATGTGTTACGCATCACATGGCACCAGTCAATGAAATCCACAACAGTTAGTCTAAGCCAGTCACGTAGGAAGGCGTAGACTTCCTGGCTGGGGTCCTCGGGACGGTAAAAATCTATGGTTGGAAACAATTGGTGACGTGGCTTAAAACCGTTCTCAATGGCGCAGATGTTGTTGGCGACAGAATTTTGATCCCACTTTATTGGAAGTATTCCACTTGATTCTAAGTACTTGTTGGCTATAGGCACTGTTGAGGTGATTTTGAGTTTTTGGTTCTATTATTGTTAATTAGAACCACAGATTCTAACAACGGATAGCCGCCTTTTTGCTGTCTTTGGAGCGTTCTGTGACTATGTGTGTGTATGTGTCTCAAGAAGATTTATGTGAGGTATGCAGTAGAACACAGAGATCGGTTGCCTGCATTTATACCACAACTTTAGGACTTAGTTGTTGTTGTTTCTGTTTCATCACTATGCTTGATGATAACTTTACCAATAACTTCCCCAAAAAAACTGAGGTATTTTTGTGAATTAGGTGAATATTAGAGTACTTTGGTTCTTGTTCTTTCACAATTTTAAATATTGGTGTGGATTTTTATTTTAATAACTATTTAGATCCTACCCTGGCAGCTTATTTCTTCTTTATAGTTTGTCTTTGTGCTTTGCATTATTGACTTATTTGCTTGAATGCTCTAGTTGGTTAAGAGATAAGTGGTTACAGGATTTCATCATGAGCTGACATCGGTTAGAGAACCATTGGAAAACCTGGGAGTACTGGACGACTATTTCGTCCTAGTTTGTGACTCTTCAGCAGTATGCACCCACCAGGTTTCGAACCCACGAACTTCTGGTTACAGGGGAGCTTGTAGGCCGTTAAGCCACTGGACCCGATCCAATGGCCAGCCAGACCATGAATTCTAACTTCTGCCAATTCACAACATAGTGCGACCGCTAGCCAACGACCTCCTACACCCTACTGGTCACGATTTCCAGAAGTTCCCGGGTTCGACCCTCGCTGGGTGCGTACTTCTGAAGAGTCCGAAACTAGGACGAAACAGCTGTCCAGTACTCCCAGGTTTTCCAATGGTTCTCTAACTACTGTCAGCTCATGATGAAATCCTGAAACCAATCAAATCTCTACAAACCAACACTTGAATACATAGAAAATAAGTTATTGATAACAATTGTTCGCTCAGGAAATTTTCTTATTCTGATTATAGTATGAGGATCTATTTTTTCTTCCTTCACGTTCCCCAGTGGAACAAAAGGGCTTCAAGCTAGTGGCTTGAAGTTTCTGTAGCAGTGTTCAGTTTTTACAGGATGGGGTTGCTAGCCTCATGCCCAACCTTTCCTCTTTACCAGCTTTTATTTCTGGTTCAGTGATGCAAAGGAGTGCGTCGGTGGCCGGGGATCGAACCCCGGATTATGTGCATTGTCAGCGAGCGTCCTAACCGCTATGCCACCGACGCACATTATGAGGATCTTATTCATTTAATTCTTACAGCTTTTATCCTTGTGCAACTTGTAAGCGTTAATGTAGTTTCATGAATCAGCGGTACATTGGTGACTGATATCTGTGTTTTTTTTAGCAATTAAAGCAACTGTGTTTGTAAAGCTTATCTAAATTGTTTTATTTCTCCGTGTTCTTTGTATTTGTGAGTCTCGCAATCCTTGTTTATCTTCCGTAAATCAAATTCACATTCCATTCAGTGGTCAATAGTGTTAGTATTATTATTATTGCTATTATATGGACCTCTTGGAACCAGAATCTTCTTTACCATATGCCTAACTACTACATGTTCATGTATTTTCGCTAATATCCTATTATTTTTATACGGATAGTGCATATCTTTTATTGCGTTCCCTTCTCCTCTGTGGAATTCCCATATTTATTTATTTTTTCCGTTTTATTTTTATTTTTAATAGATGAAGATGCCTATAGTCGTTGTTCTGTCCTACTAGACTTAACCAATGAAGAGAAAGAAAAAGAAGCCTCTTCATTTCAAGCTATTATTAAAATGAATAAACCAATGACACCGTCTACGCATACTACTACTACAATAAATAATGTGACAAGTAGTAGTAACAAAGTTGTTCATTCTATGTCTCCTGCTACTTCTGCTGCCAATACCTCTATTTCAACTACACCATCTAATGATCCTCGTGATAGATCACCGCTAACTAATAGTCTCCCACTGTATAAACAGCAATTAATTTCATCAAAGTTAGCCTTAAGATTTCGTTCTGCAGGTTGTATGGATATAAGTAAGGAGTTGACTGAAGAAGAGGAGAAAGCTCAACGGGCACAAGTTGATGTAAGCTGTTTAGATTTTTTGATTATTATTATTTTTATTTAGCATTTGTGTTTCCATTCAATTTTTTTTTTGTATCTGAAGCTGTGAAAATTCTCTAGTGATAGTGTTTCTTTTTCCTACAAGATGAGGTTGCTAGCCTCATGTTCAACTTTCCCTCGTTTCCCTCGTTTATCGGTTAGGAGACTAAGCGAGGTTTAGGAGTATATCAGCCGAAAATGGAACCGAGAAGTCGTACGTGATTGGCAAACATTCTACCGTTGGACCACCGCCGGAAGATTCTTTAGCGCGGTAGTTAGAAAAAATTCACCTATACATCAATCGGTTAGGCTCCTAGCTACATCTGTTGTTCAGGGGCCCGCTACTTTAATCTAATAGTCATGTTTTATATTTGTACATGAAGTAGAAGTTAGAAGAAAAAGGTGGAGACATGAAAACAACACAATTAAATACTGTAGATTGGTTGGGGATTTCATCATGAGCTGACAGCAGTTCGAGAACCATTGGAATACCTGCGAGTATTGGACACCTGTTTCGTCTTACAAAATGCCAGTGCGTTGGTGGCACAGCGGTTTGGACTCTCGCCGATAATGCACATGGTTCGGAGTTCGATCCTCTGCCGGCGCACACCTGATATCTATGGTCAGCCTGCAAAATTTGGGCTACCGATATCACATGCTGAAATTTCCATACCTGCACCAAAAATACTGTATGGGATCAAGCTGTAATAAAAGAAACCTAAATTCAACTGTTGGTTTGCAGGGATTTGATTCGTTACGGGATTTCATCATGAGCTGACATTGGTTAGAGAACCATTGGAAAACCTGGGATTACTGGATGATTATTTCGTCCTAGTTTGTGACTCTTCATTAGTTCGCACCCACCGGAACCTAGGACTTTTTGGTTACATGGTGAGCTCGTAAACCATTAAGCCACTGGGACCCGATCCAACGACCAGTCATTCCATGAATTCTAACTTCTGGCAATTCACGACAGCGCGACCCCTAGCCAAATACTAAAATACTAGCTAAAAAATACTTGAAGGTTACTTATTTTTTCCTTTACGTTCCAGATGGAACCTATGGCTTCAAGCTAGAACTTTGAAATTTCGGCACCATTGATGTTTTATTTTTTAGAGGGTTGGGTTGCTAGCCTTTCCCACTTTACTGGTATTGTTACCGTCTTAGCGAGGTGTGTCGGCAGGGACCACGTGCGTGGTTGGCGAGCATCTTACCGCTAAGTCACTCAAGCACTAAAGCCTATAGAATTATTATAGGGCAAATGAAGGAGAAAACGAATCAATTATGTATTCTAATCCAGATAAAGTATGAATGTATCTTCACCAACTAAGAAAAACGATTGTGTAGCATATTACTGAGTATCTCTGACAATGTAAATTTCTTTGGTTATGTGAAGACTCCAACTAACACTGTCTCAATACTTTCATCAAGCCCTCGACTACGATCCGAATATGAGTCTTTGAGTGACATGGAGGCGATCGTGTGATGACGGGTAAATGAAAGCTGATAGATAATTGTAGAAGAATCAGCTGACTACACAGAGAAGACAGTGAAATGAAAATGTTCCACTTGGAACTCAAGGGGATAATAACAAGAATAGTAAACACGACCTTGATTGTTGGTTTAAAGTGTGAATTGATGGATTTTAATTTTTTATTCAACGTTTGGTTCCCAACATTTCAAAAAGGTCAGTCAAACCAACCATCACCTTATTTTGCACGATCCATCTGCATTTTGTTCTGCATACATGCCAGGCGATTGTTGTTTCGTTGGTCCTTTCCCAGGTTTACCAATTCACCAGTTCACTAACACGAGAAAAGACGGAAGATTGGACGTAGGGCTATGGACCCTACCGCTTAAAATCAATCGAATCACTACAGAGACTTCGAAGCACGAATTTTGTGTATTTTACTATTATTATTATTGTTCTTCTGGGTTCCTATTGGAACATAGGCCTTCAACTGCACGTCTCCACTTGCTTCAGTCTTCCTTCTGCTGTACTTTTCACCTCCATCCATGTTAGTTCATACTGTTTCAACTCCTCTTCACACGATCTCCTCCATGTCACCCTCGCATTAACGTCCCACTCGCCGCTTCCCTTTCGGGTTCCACTCGAGCAATGGCCTAATGCGCCTGCGATGTCACCCAGCGACCTCCTCAGCGAGTGTCCAATCCATCTCCACTTTCTCCCGCATATTTGTTGTTATTGGGCGATTGGTTCTTGTTTTGTTTTGTTTGTTCCCAGCCATAGTTTCTTGTTGGTGATTGTTTCCGGCCCGGCCATCTGATCTTCATTCAGTATAGGGCGAAGACAGTTAACTGTTGATAAAGGTCTGCAACAGGCTGTTGGAAATATTTTTTGTGACTCGCCCGCCAAGTTTCTGATCTGATCTTATAGAAGAACTGACTGACTTGACGTTGTTTGTATTGCAAATCCGACTGAATTTTGTTGTTGATGCTTACTGACGAAGACTTTGTGTATACAATTCTATTTATCCTTTAATTAATTCTACAATTCTACTTATCCTTTAATTTTGTTAGTGATAATATTTTTGTCATAATTTTTTATATTATTGGCGCAATCTCATTCCTACTTGCAATATGTATTCGGTGTAGATACAATGAACGCCATCACTGCATAAATAATAAATACTACATGACTGTGTGTGTGTGTATATATATGTGTATGTGAGTCTACTTTATCAAATAAAAAAATTTTTATCTCTCACTTTTCTCTTAAATTTTACTTTTGTTTTTCAAAAAATACAATTCATACTTTCCCCATAGAGTTTGGATATAGTTGAACCACGTGATCATGCAGTAGCGACTGAATCCTATGGTGCTTTGACAAGAAGACGTCTAAAATGGCATCCAGACAAACTTTTATGTAAACGTGTAAATATTCCTAATCCTTATCCTGAGTAAGTTGTTGCTATTTGTCGTTTCTTTTTTTTATTGAGTTAGAAACTGCACTGAAATGTTGTGTGTGTGTGTATGTGCGTCTGTGTGTATTCAAGCCTAATTCAATGTTAAATGCAAAATGCCTACCGAGCAACCGCTCGCGGGCGATTAGAATTCAATTCTCAGTCAACGTACTCCTAATTAATGATAGTAGCGATAGTGATAATAATAATAATGATAACAATAATAATGATATTAATATTAATAACAATAATAATTACGACACCAACAATAAGGAATCTAAATCATCAGTAGTAATTCCATACAAGGAAGGAACCTCGGAAGCCTCACGCAGAATTCTTAACAAGACAGGAATAAAAGTAGCATTCAGACCCACAAACTCAATTAGAAACAAGCTTTGTCGGTTAAATGATCCCGCCTGTGGAGCCTTTAAAACAAAACACTTTAGTTGATCTAATACCCTTCTTGAATGATTGTCGGGTTAAATACATGGGTCAAAGTAGTAGAACAGGGGCAGTCAGATTAGCCGAGCATAAAACCTAGCCAAGTCTTGATAAGTTGATCCGAATAAGATAAGAAATCTAGAGAATAGTTCAGCCGTAGGTAGCACTACATACAGGTACACACAAGCATACAGTAGGGTGATGGGATAAGATGGCGGTTTTAAAATCTAATGTCACTGAGCGGAGGGATAGATTGAAAACTGACTGAGGCTTTGTTTATCGAATCAACTGCAAATACATGTAAAAGGAATGATTCAACACCTGTCAACTCAGATATCTGGAAAATTCTACTACCCCAACAACGACAATTAGGAGAAAACAAAGAAAACTATAAAACTCAAGTTTCAAAGTCGTGTGATTACAATTGATATGATTATGAAGGATAATAAATTTTGTTCGAAACGTCATCCAGTAAAACAATAATACTGTTTCACTGACTGTGTCATACATCTAATAAACAAACTAATATGGAACTTCTAAATCTTACCTAACTTGTCAGCTGGTAGTGTAAGTCTAGGAAAGATAGAAGGTTGTATGAGAGCCTAATAACACCCCATCCGAGAAACACAAAATCCCCCCTGAAATTTTAAAGCTTGAGACTAGAACTCATTCACATTCAATTTTAATGACGTAAAGTTTTACTTTCTTAGTATTCAAAGTTACTTTACTCAGCTTGGAGCGAAGAAGTTGGGGGGGGTGAGGGGAGGGTGGAGGTTGGAAGATGCGGAGTGAATATAGGAAAATACCGGAAAACTGTTAAGGTTTTCTCTTCGTCTTCTTCTTTAATCATTTGTCAATTTTCCAAACTGTACATACATTGAATGTAAATTAGGCGTTAGTTATGTAATATAGATTTTCTTTAAATGTAAAGGAATTAGGTATGCATATGCTAAGGTGAAAAACACAAATGCAAAACTATAAACTTTCTTGCGGTGTGAGTTTGTTACTCACTTCTGTATATTCATGGTAAATTCTTGCTCGGATTTCTTGAGAGGAAGGAAAAACGTGACTTACCGAGAAGAAGAAGAAGAAAATAAGTTGCTTTGCGTAATTTCATTTACTGTACAACTAACTATACATTCGGTATTATATACACATTTTGTTTTTCTTAATCGATTAGTCTAGTCGTTTTATATTTGAAAAATACATAGTTATTAGTAAAATGAATGCAAAGCAGCTGCTTAGATTAATAAGTCTATCTGTCTGTCTGTCTGTCTGGATTCAACATAGAACTTGGCACCGAAGTGCAGCAGTTCGAGTTGCCACGTTCCAAATAGCACACAGAGGTAGACAAGAAGATGAATGAAGAGAATCAATAGAGTTTGACAAGTATAAGAGTGAAACAGAATCGGTAATGGTAGAAAGGAATATGAAAGATTACAGAGACTGAATACATCTGCGCTGGCCATTGACAACGATTTTGAGCCATGTCACCTATTGTTTCCAGCTATTGATTCCTAGAGTCCCGAGGGCCCCAACCCGGGAGTTTGCATCTCCCTACCTGACTCAGTTTAACTGTCAAGGATTTCATGGATTGATGAGGCCATGTCTTTGTTTGGCCACCACTGGCTCTTTTCCAACCTGCACCTATATCAGCTAGCAATGCCCGTCGGGGGAGGCGGTGGTTAGGCATGCGCGGCACGTGACCTAGCTATCTTAGTCTATGTAACTTTATAGCCTCGTCGATTGATTTTCCCTCTTTGCCCAACACTCTACGCCTAACGTCAACATTACTTACCTTAATAAACCACCTTACGTGAGACAGAGATCGCAGACATCTATGATCGAAAGCAGTCAATCTTTTCATGTCTTCAACGCGAATTGGCCATGTTTCAGAGCCATAGAGAAGGACGAACGGAGCGAACTGCTGAGCAGTACACACGTACCTTGGTTGATAACCGGATGTCGGATTAATAAGTGTGTGTGTGTGGGTGTCAGTCGAATCCTGTTCTCCAGAGAAGTTCAAGAATCCTATCATGCCTTGTTATGAAGTTGTTTAATTCGAAGGTGTAAAAAGTGGAATGATTGAACACCTTGTCGAAATTAGTAATTATCATCCTTTCAATTTCTTGCTGTAGAATGTTTTGGCTTGATCACAAACCGATTTCAAGTTAGAGAACCAACAAAAATCAGAGAGTTCCAGCTTGTGAGACTCTTCATCAGGACGCATCCATAATCCTACCAGGGAATGAATTCAGGGCCACTTAGATTGCAGCAAAGCCAGTTCGTAGGTTCTAAATCATATCCACCATTCGCAAATAGGTCAGTGATTTGCAATTTACACACAGGTCGAGGGGTAAAATTCCAACGTAGTTTGAATTGGGAACCAAGAAGTTATTGGGATCACAACATGTGATCTTCTTGATGCCACCATATAAATGATAATCAAGAAAGAAAGAAAGCAAATTTGCGGAAAACTATTTACTACTGATTCATTGAAGCGAGTACTTGCACGCTACTCATGTCAACCATCAGTGTTTGTTAGCCAGCCAGATCATACTGATCTAAACGCAGCATGGCTGTATCACTCCGTGAAATGTTTGACCACTCGAACTGTGTGAATTGCCAATTGTTAACTAATTTGCATATTGTGAATTTGATTTATGCTGTCACCATTTATTCGCCTAAGTAGCTAAGCAGAAATCGGGTGGCTTGAACTGATTCAGTTCTCTTAACTGAGTCAAATCGCGTACACCGCTGATGAGCTCAATCCAAAACGGGTGAAACAGTCGTCCTGTGGTGTTTAGATCACCCTGATCTGACTGGCTAGAAACTACTGCTGGTTGCTTTGAGTGGTATACAAGTACTACTCATCTCGGTCAATCAGTAGTAGTACACGGTTTTATGCGAGTTTTTTTTAGATCATCCTACCACTGTGATGGAGTACAATGATCCATGAATGATAACTTCTGCCAATTCATGATATATAGATTAACCACTAGCTAATGTTATCCGTGACTGTTTGTCCTCACCGCTAACCTGGTGAATACTGTTGGTGCCTGGCCATCGAGAGTGGAAAACATGAAAAGGTTGGCTAGCTGTCTTTGATCATAGGTGCCTGTGTTCTATCTCCTATGTGAAGTGGTATAATAGGGTAAGCAATATTGAGGTTAGGCGTCGAGTGCCAGGTAAGGAGGAGAAATCAACCGACGAGGGTGAGAAGTCACATCCATTGAGATGGTTAGGACATCTGTTACGCATGCATCTCTAGCCATCACCTTCCTCAATGGGCAATGTTAGCTGACATAGTGCCAGGCTGGAAAAGAGAAAGCTAGTGGTGGTTAAACCAAAACATGGCTTTAACAGTCAATGAATTGGCAGAAGTTAGAATTCAAAGACCATTGGATCGGGTCCCAGTGGCTCAGTGGTCTACGAGCTCACCTTGTAACCAGAAGGTCCTGGGTTCGAATCCGGTGGGTGCGTACTGCTGAAGAGCCCCAAACTAGGACGAAACAACTGTCCAGTACTCCCAGGTTTTCCAGTGGTTCTCTAACTGATGTCAGCTCATGATTAAATCCTCCATGAAATCCACAACAGTTAGTTTAAGTCAGTCATGTAGGAAGGCGTAGACTTCCTGGCTGGTTGGGGTCCTCGGAACGGTAAAAACCAATGAAGGCTGGAAACAATTGGTGACATGGCTCAAAATCCTCGCTCTCAATGGCTGGTGCAGATGCATCCACTCCTTGTGACTTATAATACCCATTGAAATTATATTGTTCTTCGTTATTACAATTCCTTTGTCTCATATCCCTGTTTACTATCCCTATTATGCATTTCTTCTACTTTCTTCTGTTGGTTTGTGTGCCACATGGAGGGTGTGTGGCGACCTGAACTGCCGCACATATGTGCAAAGTTCTGTGTTGAAAACAGAGACAGACTGTTGGTGCTCACAACTTCTAACTAGAACTTTAGGGAACTTCATTTTCTAGTCACTTACTAGTGAGCAGTAGATTAATTTTCAGGAATTGGTTTGGAGAGACCAGTCAGTCTTTTGTAGTTTTAATCCTTTTATTCTAAATTATTAGCAGAAAAAGTAGAATATTTCCTCCACAGCCTAAGTGATGTTACATGTTCCCTAATTCTATCTATTGCCTGATAATAATTCGTGGTTTCCTATACATTTTGTTTTACCCTACATTCCCATATCTATAATTATATATCTTTACTAGACATCCATAGTATTCCGATTATTTCTTACTAATCTTAAAATTGCGTTTATTCTAATTGTTAACATATGTTTTAAATGCAAAATCATTAGACTAATTCTTGCCAAGATTGTGCATTATTTCGATTGTACGGCTGTTTTTTTTCTTCACGTTCCCAGTGGAACATAGGGGGCTTCAAGCTAGAGGCTTGAAGTTTCTGTAACAGTGTTCATTTTTATAGGATGGGGTTGCTAGCCTCATGCCTAACTTTCTCTCATTGCCAGCTTTATTACTGGCTTAGCGAGGTAAAGGAGTGGGTCGGCCGAGACTGTGGCTCATTCATTCATTAGTATGTTTGCTGGATTTTATGGATTAGATTTCCTTTCTACCTACCGATGCTCGGCCAGTTTCGGTGAAAATACGGGTGATTGTTGAGTATTTCTACAAATTACTTCATCTGAAGAGTAGACGTAATATCCTGCTAGCGATCAAATTGTATGCATACTGAGCATTAGCAGTTCACTCTGTCCTTTATGACTGTGAGACATGGCCATTGAGAGTAAAATATGTGGAAAAGTCAGCTGTCTTTGATCATAAATGCATGCATTTTATCTTCCTTGTAAAGAAACATAGCTTGGCTAGGGAAGTAAGATGATGTGGATTAAGAAGAATGTTACTCAGGAGGGCTTCGTGTGCTTTTGGAAGTGTATGTGTGGTTGTTACTTCCCGGCTGCGCATACTGTGGAAGTTAGTTGATTCTTCGAGTACCTGAAACAGAAAGAGGGTTAGTGTTGCGTGACCACAGAGCCCAGGGGACAACTGCTTGGTATTGGCCGGTCACACACGGCGTGTATGAACTGACTTCCTGGTTTAGTTCCGTATTAGTAAATTTACCAAACCCCCCCCCTCTCTCTCCAGAGTGGACAGACAGCATAGCTGGCATGCTGTTATTACATCCCTGTTCCCCAGCAGTCCGACTTTGCCTACATACCTCCAGAAGAATGTAAAGCAAAATTCTTAGATTACGCCTGTAACTGCTTTTAGTCTAATCGCTATCCTAAGAATCTTCCTGAAATAGTAGGATCTGCAGAAACAACAGTTCCAGCCACTGTAACTTTTTGAGTTATTGAGATATGCGAGCCTGACCATCACGTCAGGGTAGCAGCTATCGGTCGGGATATCATGCTTAGGCATAGAATGTTAGTTAAGGAGTGTAAATCGTTTAGTATATCAAGTACATCACTTACCGTTATCTGAGTACTTTGGATTTTCAAAGCAAACTGTGTTGAATTCTCTTTCACCTCGACCTGTGTAATTTCCAAATGATGAGTTTTCTACTGTATAAAATCCATTACTTCGATCAGTATTTCTTTGTGAAAGGAATGATTTATAATTTGACTTCTTATTCTTTGTATTTTACTAGTTCCACATTTGTTGGTTGTCCAGATGAAAGACGTCCGCGTAATCCCTTTCGTCAATTGCACAGAAAACATGGCAAAAGTAGATTTTCTGATAGTGCTTCCTCGTCTAATGACTTCTCAATCTTTGATCTATTGGATGTTAATTGTACTACAATTGATCAACAGTCGAACTCTTTAATGAGTACATCTGGACAACAACAGATAAGTAGTGATTCTGACTCTGATTCAGTAAATGATATGCATGAATCAGGCATTACATCATCATCAGTTTTGCATAATGTTTCATTTGAACCAAATGAATCTATTGGAGCAAGTTTTCAACCACGTGGTAAAGCTTTATTTGCTGCCTTATTTCAATCCTTGGAAAATCAAAAAACGCCTGAAGATACTGATAAAAGTGTAGATATGAATGATTCAGTAGACAGAGTACTGCCAAATGAAGATGCTTCTCAGAATGTCACTGAAAGACATGAAGCTACTAGCTCGGTAAGTTTCGTTTTACTGAAGTTTTCCTGCTTTAGGACTTAACATATTCTTAGATATCTATTATTTTTTGTTCAGTTATTATCATATCATAAGGTGCTGATTACGGATCCCGTTTAAACAAAAACATCTTATACTACTACAGTTGATAAAAGTAGTATGTATATACCTCTAGGTCTTTATGTTGGCTGTTTCAATACTGTATAAGATATTCTTTTGCAGGGATAACTCGTTAACTTAAACTCATGGGTGTTAACCAGAGGGTGGTGGGCTGGAATTCTACTCCATCCACTTCATCTTGGTTAGCAACATCAATCCTCACCTCCTCAGGATGGATTCATAACCTGACAAATCTATCCCGAATAGTTGATTTTAAACAGATCACATAATGAATAGTCTCATCACCGTTATAATCGAATTTCTCCAAGTAAGTGAATACTATCAAATTCCACCTAATTACACAATGAATTGTCAGGTTGGTGCATTTGTTCTTAACATCCTGAGGACTGTAGCCAGGACATCTACACCTTCGTTGACTGATGCCTGGTTTTGTTTCGACCAACTCTAACTCTTCTCCAATCTAATTCAATGTCAGCTAATGTTTCTCGTCGGGAAAAGTGATGGTTAGGCACGCATAACACCCCACCTGTTTGCCTGTCTGTTTTCGACATAGAACTTTGCACCGATGTAAAGCGGTTCAAGTCGCCACACTCCCTCCATGTAGCACACAAACCAACAGAAGAAAGTAGAAGAAATGCATAATAGGGATGGTAAACAGGGATATGAGACAAAGGAATTATAATAACGAAGAACAATATAGTTTCAATGGGTATTATAAGTCACAAGGAGTGGATGCATCTGCACCAGCCATTGAGAGCGAGGATTTTGAGCCATGTCACCAATTGTTTCCAGTCTTCATTGGTTTTTACCGTTCCGAGGACCCCAACCAGCCAGGAAGTCTACGCCTTCCTACGTGACTGGCTTAAACTAACTGTTGTGGATTTCATGGAGGATTTAATCATGAGTTGACATCGGTTAGAGAACCACTGGAAAACCTGGGAGTACTGGACAGCTGTTTCGTCCTAGTTTGGAACTCTTCAGTAGTACGCACCCACCGGGATTCGAACCCAGGACCTTCTGGTTGCAAGGTGAGCTCGTAGACCACTGAGCCACTGGGACCCGATCCAATGGTCTTTGAATTCTAACTTCTGCCAATTCATTGACTGATGAAGCCATGTTTTGGTTTAACCACCACTAGCTTTCTCTTTTCCAGCCTGACCCTATGTGAGCTAAAATTGCCCGTGGAGGAAGGCGATGACTTGGCATACGTAACACACGTCCTAACCATCTCAGTGGATGTAATTTCACAACCTCGTCGATTGACTTCTCCTCCCACCTACGTAGCACTCGACGCCTAACCTCAAAACACTGTTTCGACACTTTTCAGCTGAAAGACCGATGCAACACAACAGTCAAATCATATATATATATATAATTAATATGAGACTTCAGTCTCTATGCCGAGATAGAAGTTACCACATGTTTTTTTTATCACGAAATAAATAGAAGTCAGAAAGATTCCCGATGTTTTTGTAATATTTTCCTTTAAGGTTTTAAATGAAAGCAGATAGAGCCTTGCGAAATGCTCAATTCTTTACTATTAAAGAATTCTGCATTAGTAAAACAGATTTTCGAAAACATGCTCAAGCAAACGACATAACAAAAAAAGATCACCTGAGACAATCACACCTCACCTAGATACATACCACTTTTTGAAAATGTATAAGCATTGAGAAAACAGTTCTCAGTGTATTCCCTAAGTTATGTTTTGATCGATATATCAACCTTAAAGTGGATTTTTTGCCTTTTATCAGGTAAATCGTATAGTTGGTCCAACTCTTCCTCAATCAGGAATCGATGCCCTTACCAGTGATTCAAATACTCCTCCAATGGATTTATTCAAATCAATATTTGCATCGGATGAAGAGTTAAGTTCATCATCGCTATCCGAAGATGAGCATGACGGTGATGTTGTTGATGATGATGATGGCGATAAACACAGAGAAGGTAGTCTGGCTATATCATCAAATGTTAAACAGTCAAATACTGTTTCATTATCAAATGGTAATTCTATTCTATTCACTTCAAAAATGTTAATCATTATCTTAATTTTAGATCAGTCTGGATTATTCAAAGGTCATTCATTATTTTCACATTTATTTGAACCGGATGGAGATATGCGTAGGTTTTTTAGTTAAACATTTTAGCTATTATCATAATGTATGTTTTTTTCTTCTCTTAGATGCACCCTTGTCAGGTTTGACACGAATCACTACACAACCGCGTGATGTGATCCAAAAAGTGGATACTCCTTCACAAAACAATACAAACCCTGATTTACTATATGGACCGGATTTACCGCCAAATTTCAGTAAGTATATATTTTTTTTGTTTATCTATCCATCTATCTATCCTATGCGTCTAAATTATTCAAATAAAGTTGCATGTTATTTTGAAATCAAAAATTAAAATAATCAAAAGATAATATGGTAATTCTTGATAATAAAACGTGTAGAATGAAACATGAAGTGAAACCTGGGAGCACCTAGGTTTCGTTCTTGTTGACAATGGTCATCAGAGCGTATCCATATTCGTAAACGAATTGATGTCCCCTCAGAAGGCCGAACCGATAGCACTCAGTACTGCAATCACAACATTTCCTGCTGAACTATTCTGTCTGATAACTGATTGACAACATTCAGTCAGCACAACCACGTAAACAGTCAGGATCACAACATTGACTGACTGACTGACTGGTTTCAGCATAGAACTTTGCACCGATGTGCAGCATTTCAAGTCGCCATACTCGGTGTAGCACACAAAGCAAGAGAAGATAAAAAGAGATGCAAACTAGAGACAGATAACAGAAATTTGAGGCAAAAGAATAGTAATATCAAAGAACAATATAGTTTCAATGGGTATTATAAGTCACAAGGAGTGGATGCATCTGCACCAGCTATTTAGAACGAGGATTTTAAGCCACATCACCAATTTCCTCCAGATATTGGTCTTTACCGTCCTTAGGACCCCAATCAGTCACGCAGTCTACATCTTCCTACGTGGGCGGCTTAAACTAACTGTTGTGGATTTCATTAACTGTTAAAGCCATGTTTTGGTTCGACCGCCGCTATCCCCTCTTTTCCAACTTGACCCTATGTCAGCTACTATTGCCCATTGAGGAAAGTGATGGCTAGAGATGTATGCGTAACACATGTCCTAACCATCTCAATGGATGTGACTTCTCACCCCCGTCGGTTGATTTCTCCTCCTTACCTGGCACTCGACGCCTAACCTCAATATTGCTTACCCTATTATGCCATTTCACATAGGAGATAGAACACAGTCCCTTATGTTCGAAGACAGCTGGCTAGCCTTTTCATGTTTCCACTTTCAGTGGCCACTTCTCACGGCTATAAAGGAGAGCTGAGCAAACTACTGAGAGGTGCACACTCCCTTTGTCGACAGCCAGCTGGATATCACGTCTACGCCAGGGTTGGCGTAAAGTGGCTTATGCGAAATGAGTCTTCTGTATTCGTGCTGAGATTTTGTCAGCGATCGACCTGCTGGTGTCGGCTGAGGCAACTTTCCAAATAAATGAAGTGGTCAACGTGCTCTGCCAATTCATTGTATGAGTTTATCTATGATGAAATTGTATAGATATTGTGATGGTGGTGGTGGGCATCCGTGACGGACACTACTAGTTGTCACCATTTGAGATGACAACTCTCCGTAAGCTCTTACCTAGCTGCACGAGTTCGAGTTGTGTGCCTTGATCAGTGCGATGTGTTTTCTCAGCATTCTCTCCACAGTCAAACATCGCCATAGTGGATCTTGGTCGATAGAGTCAAATAATTCCATCGGGTCAAGAATCATAACGATTGTTGTACGCCATTATGTATGCCTAAGTTCCAGAATCCATCGAAGGGTGAAGACATGAGCAATACACCCACTTCCTGGCCTAAAGCCTGCGTGGTTCTCTCCTGTTTTTTCCTCTCGTTTACCGCTTAGTCTACGCATTATTATTGAGCCATATTAGTCAAGCTAATCCCCCTGTGATTATCACAGGAAGACTTGTCTCTCTTCTTGTATATTGGCATAATCAATGACTTACACTGACCCGATGGGACTTCTTCTGATTCCCAGACGCTGTCTAGTACCGTAGTTGACGCAAACTGTAAGCTGTCTCCACAGTCCTTAAATACCTCTAGAGTCATTCCATCGGGTCGCGCAGCTTTGCCTCGATTTGGAATAGTGACAGCTTTAGTAACCTCAGTTAGGGATGGAGGACCTGTGTCTATATCCCATTCAGTGAGGTGTTGGATGTTTGGTCGGTTGAGTATAGCTGTATTCCAATTAAATTGCTCTTCAAAGTGTTCTTTCCAAAGTTCCAGTCGTCTATTCTGGGAGCTAATTATGGTGCCATTTTTCTCAGAGATTGTTTCACTAATCATTTGTCTTTTAAGCACCTGTTTCCCTGATAAGCCTAACAAGTTTTCTGGTATACCAATCGCCGATGCCTTTTCCATCACTTTCGCCCACAGCTATTCACGTTCGTTGCGAAGATTTCTTCTTAGTTTGCGTCTGAGTAGCTTTCGCTCTTCATCATAATCGGATCTCTCTGGGATCAGTCTTCTTGCGTCAATCACTTCGGATGAAATGGTAGCAAAACACTGATTTCATCTTAGTAACCAATCAACGCGTTCAATACAGTCTTACAGGAGATCAATCTTAGGTCCGAATAACTCAGTGTTAACGTTTTTGACTGCAGCATTGAGTGATATGGATATGAATCTTTTAGGGGACATAAGTTGCTGCACAGCTGCATATGTATCTTAATGAAGAGTGCAATAAAGGACGAAACCTAGGCTGAGGGCTTCTTGCTGATTGCCTCGTGGCTCACTGGTCTAGTGAATACCTCTTTAGTATTTGAAACGATAGGTGCTGGTTTCGATCCCTATCTGGATTGATCAATAAACTGTACTTATCTTAATTAATATCTGAAAAATATCTCTCAGTATGCGTCTGTTGACTTTAGAGTCATACTGGCTTCAGTTGTACATATATGTCGAATAAAAGACGGTGTTTAACTTGACTGTGAAATAAAAATTGTGTGAAACTGCAACTTGTGAAATGTGTTTACTCAAAATATTAGACAGAAAACAAAACCAGATCAATAATTAGGGATATTCATTTTGCATATCAGTCATCATTTAGATACACACTAACGAATTTATCTACAATTTATTGTTCCTTATTATTACTTTTTTTTACAAATTCACCTCGTTTTGGTCTACTTTCTTCGACAATTTCAGGTTCAGCATATGAACAAATTAATCCAACGCCTTCTGCTTGTGATCAAGGAAAACCGTCAACTGTTCCGCCTTCTGATATTCTATTTGTTGTAAGTTATTCACTATTGAAGTGTTACACGTTCGAAAAATTCGAATTTTACATTTATTTGACCTTTGATTAATTGAATCTCGTAGATTTAGGAAATTACAGTGTAGAATTCCTCACGAACCCACATCAATTAAAGAATTATTTAAAAACGGAGGTTCACTGGATATCTGTTTCGTCGTACTTTTCAGCTGTTCAGCAAGGTCTTGAGCTCAGATTTTTCTTGTGGAGTGGTGACTGCGCATTACTGAAGTCTTGTACTGGGCTGGAAAAGCTACTCGATACCCTTTAGTGTTTTCAAAAGTTCTTTAGCTGACATCAGATTGTGGTGAAGTTTGCATTACAATTTCCGCAAACCGTCCTTCCAACGCCTTGAAAATTTAAAACAAGCAACGAGAATTAATAAAGAAGGATTTAATGAATTCATCAAATTTCGGTAGAACTCCTCTTCAGCTGAATACTCTACATACAGCGATATATATACTATTGGAAATACATTGAGAGGTGTAAGACTGATAAGCAAATAAACTACATTGAATCAGTCGTGCAGAATGACACGTGAGAATGTTTTCCAGGTCATGTTCAACTAAATTAAAGGGAATGGTAGCAATATGTACAAGAAATGGATTTTGTTGACATTTTTATTGTCTGTGTATGCAGATCAAAAAGCTGAAGACTTGTTGGCAAATTTGCCATTCAAAGGAGATGATGTACAAGAAGTAATCAAACGAAGACTTGATAAAGCTGTCAAGAAACCTTACTATACTGCAAAACTTGTCTTTCTTAACACCACCAAACGAGTGTTTCAACAATCTGAAAAAGGTCAATCGCCAGTCCTCTACACTTCAAACTGCGTTTATCAATTTGAGTGTGTTTTTTGTGGAACCAAATATATAGGTTGTTCAGGAAGGCTATTGTCGACTCACATGATGAAGCATTTGCCAAAGTGTTTGAGAACAGCTGAATTCAAAGTGCCAAAAAGCTCAATAACAAAACATTTATGGACCATGGAAATGATATCGACGCTGTCAAGTCATTCACTGTTGTCAGCAGACAGAGAAACGGGAAGATGCTTGCAATTTCAGAGACTTGTGTGATTCGAGTTTATGAAGCAGGTTCCCTGTGTACAAAAGGAATTGATCGTCTCTCTGAATCTATCATAGTAATATGTTTTACTTATTAACCGTTTTTATTATTAACATTATTGACAGCCCATTCTACCTCTGCTTATTATTATTATTAGTATTCTTGATTCATTTTAGTAGCATTATCTTAACTCACTTCCGCATTATCATTGTTATCATAACTATTACTATTGATATTACTCAGTTCTCAATCCTTGATATATTTAAGTTATTTCTCTGATGAGTAATTGTTTATCTAAGCGATGTAATTGAGCGTAATGCATTCTATCTTAATTTTAATCTCTCATACTTCCATCCCCTTAACTTATTGAACATGACCTGGAAAACATTCTCCTGTGTTGTTTTCCACGACTGATTCAATGCTTTTTTATTTGCTTATCAGTCAGGCTGTTGGAAATATTCTTTGTGACACGCCCGCCAAGTTTCTGATACGATCCGTATAGGAGAACTGACTTGACGTTTGTATTGAAAATTCTACCGAATTTTGTTGTTGATGCTGGCTGGCTGAGTGACGAAGATTTCCAGATAGGTGTTTTCAGGTTGATGAATGTGTTTCTCGCCTTCCCGATTCTCACTCGATTTGACATCCTCGTCCGTTCCGACTACCTGTAGTTGAGACAATGCTCAATGCGAGATAAGTGAATGAAGTAACGTCTTTTGAATCCCTCCCGTTGGTGATGATTGGCGACGGATGTTGCTGCTGTTATTATTGTTGTTGGTTGGTTATTTTCATAACCTCCGTCTTGTCTATGTTCACTTGGAGTCCTGTCTTCGCCAGGTGCTTCTTCGACCAGTTTGTCGGTTTTCGCTTGTTAGTCTTCGATTTTGTGTAACATCAAACATAAATCATCCACGCGCGAAATCTAGGTCTTCTAGGTTCTTCACTGTCGGTCGAGGATATCCCTGTCTTCTCGTTTCCCACTCATTGTCTGATGCATAATCCAGTCAGTCCACCACAATTAGGAATGTCATCGTGGGAGATAATAAGCACCCTTGTCTGACTCGTGTGTTTACTGCGAACGACTCGCTGAGTTTTCCGTTGTGGATCACTTGACATGTGCCTTTGTCGTACAGCTGTATCGGTAAATAAATGTTCCATAATTCTCAAAGAAGCGCCTTGAAAGGTGTTACACTACAAGAGATGAATAATAGACGTCTTTATAGTAACTTTATTGTGATCACAGGTGATCAATTGCCTAGTTACAATTCTATAGTTCAAACACCGTTCAAACTATTTCAACTAGTAAGCGTATTCACTTTCTGATCTTAGTCATGTACGAGAAATATGATTTTTAGTACCTTTACTAGAATGTAGTTTAGTTATCAATTAGACTTTTATAAGATTTGTTTTCCCCTCCCTCCATTGCATTGATTCAAATCATTTTACATCTTTATATAGTGTCTGAAAGTATTGAGTGTACTGGAATGCTTCAAGCCCCTTGCATTCATTTTTCATCAAACTGTATTAATCTTTTTTTGTTTTGAATAATAGTCCGTTTATGTGGATTTATTATTGATTGCATTTTCGAGTATTAATTATAAGCACTTTTACCGTGTTCAGTATATACGGTTATATATATATATATATATACGGTGTCGCATTTGCCAGTTTACGCCGTCTCCGGCGTACACGAGATTTTCGATTATCGCCCAAAGAGGGGGTGTACTGTTTATCAGTCCGCCCCGCCCCCCTTTATGGCTGTGAGCCAGACCTGGCCACTGAGAGGGGAAGACATGAAAATGGTGGCTAGCTGTCTTTGATCATAGGTGCCTGCGCTCTATTTCCCGTATAAAGTGGAATAATAAGGTGAGCAACATTGAAGTTAGGCGTCGAGTCTAGGTAAACAGGGGAAATCAATCGACGAAGTTGTGAAGTTACAAAGACTGAGATGGTTAGGACATGTGTTACGCATTACTGCCTAGTCATCGCCTTCCTCGACGAGCAATGTTAGCGGATATAGGGTTAGGCTGGAAAAAAGCTAGCGAAGGCCAAACCAAAACTTGGCACCAGTCAATGAAATCTACAACAGTTAGTTGAAGCCAGTCACGTAGGAAGGTGTAGACTTCCTCGTTGGTTGGGGTCCTCGGGACGGTAAAAAACAAATGGTTGGAAACAACTCATGACAGGGCTCAAAATCGTTCTCAATGGCGCAGATGAATCCACTCCTTGTGACTTATGATTTCCAATGAAACTGTTTTGTTCTTCGTTATTTTTCTTCCTTTGTCTCACACCTCTGTTTACTGTCTCTAATATGCATTTGTTTTTACTTTGTTCTCTTGGTTTGTGTGCTACATGGAGGGAGTGTGGCGACTTGAACCGCTTCACATCGGTGCAAAGTTCTATGTCGAAAACAGACAGACAGACAGACAGACAGATATACGGTATTGTGGAGAAATTGTCCTCCTCACGGGGAGTTAATCAAAATTTCTTGAATATTACCATTACTAAACGGTGTGGAATCAAGCTGTAATCAAAAAAGAAAACAAAACATCAACCAGTTGATTAGTTGTTGTCAACATTAACTGCCGTGTATTGCTTTTTTCCCTTTCATTCCTCACGTTATGAGTGGAAAATACATACAAGGTTTCAAGCTTCAACATTTCAGTAGTCCTGTCGTTATTTTTTTAAACAGTGGAGTGTTAACTTGATACTGAACCTTCAATCTTGTACGTGCATATAAAATCTACTAAGCATGGGGGTTTAAGAGTTCATCGGCTAAGGGTTGAACCTAACCGACTAATTTCGGTTATCATTTACTCCATAGATCATTATTTCAGTTCTATAGCTTTTGTTATTGAATCTGTTTACATGCCTTTCTCTGTGTTTCTCTTTTCATCTACAGGAATCTCATCTTGTTACTCATCGTAGTTCAAGTAAACATAAGAAACAGAAGAGTAGCAAAAAGAAACATAAATCGAAGAATAAGAAACATCATAAGAAACGTTCACGTAAAAAGTCCACCTCTTCAGAATCTGATAATTGTGATTCATTATCAACTTCCTCTTTTTCTTCATCCTAATGATTATCTCTGATAAAATAAAAAATGTTTGTACATAAGTGTCATTACCCGTTGTTCTTCTTTTTTGCTCATTTGGTTAAAATTTACCGCCTATTATTGTTATACAATTGGACAAAGAATTATCTTATCTTTGTTGTTAACAGGTGTATTGAGGACATTAAGTAAAAGTGGTTAATTAGTCGAAGTGAAATGTCTTTCTTTATTCTTTAAGATACGAATACTGTTTTGAAATCTAGTCATTGCTATGTGTGTTAAACTAACTTTACAGACTTAGCGATTACCTTTTTGCCAGGTTGAACAGTTTACTTGATTTAGAGTATGTCGAGGATATTGTCGTCTTAGGTGATGACACTGATAAAACACAAAGTTTTCCGTACAGGTTGAGCGCAGAAATCCTCGAATGTTTGACTTGTGATTCTCTCCTGTTAAACACGAGTGAACTACATCGATCGACTCCTAGTTTTAAGCTAGGGAGAGAAGTGGTAGAGCGTGCGAACCAATTCATTTAATCTGAAAGTTGCATCAGCCTTAACACACTGACTGATTGCTGACAGAATTTCAGCATGGATACGAAAGGCTTATGTAGCGCTTGACAACTTACGTCAACATTAGCGCAGACGTGATATCCAGCTGTTGATCATAAGAACCGTGCACTGCGCGATTGTTCGCTTCATCCTTAATGGTTGTGAGACAGGTTAACTGAAGGTAGACAATATGAAGAGGCCAGTTGCCTTTAACTACAGGTGTTTGTATTCTACCTCTTTTGTTAATTGGTATAGTACGGGTGAGTGATATTGAGGTTACAAGTAGAGTACTAAGTAAGGAAGGCATATCTGTTGAGCTGGTTCGGACGAGCAGTAGTAACTGACATAGGATTTGGTTGGAAACTGGTTAGGGGTGGTCAAACTAAAACTTGGCATCAGTTCATGAAATCTTTGGCTATCGCTTTGACCTGGTACGTTTGGAGGTATAGACTATCATGGCTAGAGACTGTTGGTATTATGATTCAAAATTGTTCCAAGTGGCTCAAGTGGATTCAGTCCTTTGCGGTCTGTTACATACTTTAATCCCTTGATATTAAGTTTATTACTGCCACACATTTCTGCTTCTTGTAGTTCTTTTGATACTCTATTCTTTACGTTTGTCTGCTACACGGAGTGTAGAAATTTGAATAGGCTGCATTTCTAAGCTGGAACTTAGTTTGTCGTTCGTCCTTATATTTGTAAATGTTCACTTTAAAGTATTACGCTTAATGTGTTCTAACCATACAACTTGGTGAAGTTTCCCAAACCTAATTGTTCTCTTCTATCTTTCATCTCTGATTTTGAATTGTTTATTCCCTGGGAATCCTAGTTGAACATGTAGCTTTTGCAGCAGCGGCAAACTGCCATTTTACTTTATTCTCTGCAGGTTATTTTAGCTGGCTCCATTGCTGTCCATCAACTTTTTTTTCTCACATAACCCCCCCCTTCACCTCACCGTTAAGCCCTAAACTCATAGTCTCCCATCCACATGACATCACCGCCTGGCGATAGGTTTCCAATTGATTGGTTCGTCATCAGAGTTTCTTGTTGATTATCCTTTTCAACTGACTAACTGATCTGCAGTATCGAGCTAGCGAAGGCAGCTGTTGACAGGCTTGAAGCAGCCTGTTTGCCGTCAAATCTCTGAACCATGTATAACCACTGACAAGTGGACAACCTTACATGCAACCAAAATGACGTACTGGGAATATGTGAATGCAGTGCGGGCGAAGGAGACGTCGCAACACTATACGAAACAACTAGGTTCCCAGCGCAGAAGAGATCATAAGAAATTAAACCAGTGAAAGATGACAATGGAAAGCCAACCACCAAATAGGTGGAGCAAAGAAAACACTCAGCTGAATACTTGAAAAGACTTCTAAATGCTTCACCTCAAGTAATCCACAATGGGAAATTCATAGAATCCTTCGAAGTGAAGACAATCTGGCTGCCAATGATTTTCCTGATTGTGGGCGGTAGACTGAATAATACAACAGACAGCATGCAGAGAAGAAACAAGCATAAGATGTACCTATACAAAGCACTCGGAGGATCTGGATTTCTCCTATGATGTATGTCTGATTTCCCACAGACTGGAAGATATGCAAATGAAAAGCAACAAGTTGGCAGATAGGACTTCAGGTGAACGTTGAGAAAACAGAGGTGATAAAGATTGCTGACCAACAGCAACATCAACAACAACAGTCAGCCAACATGAATGGAAGAAATTTGAAAGAAGCAACCTCCTTCACCTACCTACATGCGAAGCATCGTTTCAACCACAGGCGGACGGAATAGACGAGGATATAAAAGCGAGGATCATTGGGAAAGCAAGACAAGCTCTCATTACTCTCAAGTTTGTGTGGAGGTCAACAGCACTACTCAGCATGAAAAATAATATCCGGATTTCCAACTCCAATGTGAAGTCAGTGCTACTATACGGATCAGAGACTTGGCGCGTCACGAAGAACACCACAAAAAAAACTACAGACCTTCATCAACAGCTGACTTCACTCAATACTCAAGATCAGTTGGCCGGTCAGAAAGGATCACCGACAGGCATCTCTGGGATCGAACCAACCCAGCAGGAACCGACTGTGCAACAAATAAACAGGAAGAAATGGAGGTGGATTTGCCATACTCTGAGGAAACCATCAGGTGACATCACACATCAGGCCATCACTTGAGTGAAACCTGAATGGGAAGCGGCGAGTTGGTCGTCAGTGCGAGGTTGACTTGGAGGAGGTGATGTGAAGAGGGGATAAAAGCATGTGGGCAGCTGTGGAGCCATGTGTAAACTTTGGCAGAGAACCGAACGCAGTGGAGACGTGCGGCTGAAGCCCTATTTTCTTCTACGAAGTTAAGAAGACAATAATAATTTTATAATAATACATATATATATATAATCTTAACTGAATTGTATATAACTTCCTATGTATCACACATCTTAACTGATCCATTGCCAATGGTAAACATTTGTTAGAATCGAATTATTTGAAAGAGCAAATGAAACAGGCTAACGACTTATTGAATTGCAGCTATTCATATGCCTAATGCGCGGAACAGCCTGTAATAATAGGTGTGTTTTGTAGGTTAATGATAGAATTTCGGTGTTAAACAAAGAATTATATATATATCTGAAACATTTTAGGACATTTTATTTATTTCCTATTCATATAATAGTTTGTACAACAATGAAAATGAAAGCACAACATGCAATTGTCTTTAACTGGGTGCAAAAACTTCAATAAAAAAAAATAATTGAACTGTTTTGAATAATAATGAAGTGTTTGTATGCATAATCAAAGCTGTTCATTACTATTATTATTGATTAAAGCGGAGCGGGGAAAACACTTTGAGCTTGTGTTTTCTTTTGGTGACCATGGGAACGTGAAAATAGGTGTTTTGTCAAGTAAAATGGTCGCTATATATATATATATATATATATATATATATATATATATATATATACAGGGAGGGTCTATCACTAAATGTGTATTTGACTCATTTCGGGTCAACTAGTTACAAGCGTTGACGAAAATGTACTTATTTTCTGACCAACTAAGGAAGATGAAGTTGAACAATCGACCTGCTAATATCACCTCTATTGTGTTTACGAAATGGCATACATTTGAGGTGGTGAGTGCATTGTGACGACTGAAAGTTGTATAGCTTCTTTTTGATATTCTGACCGTATTCCGAGAAATTTGTGTCTAAAGAGAGCAGTCTCCAGCACCTCAAGGAAATTGGCCATTGTCTCGGCATCCTTAAATGCTTCATAGTACTGAGTATGCAAAGGGTGTTTCAGAAGCAATTGCAACCTGATTATGCACACAATTCATGTCAAGTGATAACATACTGAGTTGGAAGTCGTGGTGTTCATGTATGGAGTCCTTGAGTGTATGTGATTCAGAGACTTGGCGTGCGTGGTTCATCAAAAGCACTTCCAAAAGTCTTCTGCAGCTTTATATCAACAGCTGCCTTCTCTATCTTGAATATGAAGATCAGATTGCTTTCTGGTGAGGATAAATAAACAGTGGGGAACTCATGGGAGCAAATCAACGAAGAGTCTGTTGACAGAAACTATGCATGAGGAAATGGGATGGATTGGTCATATTGTGAGGAGACCCCTGAGTAATATCATGTGTTAGGTGCCTGAGTGGAACCGGAAATAGGTAACGGCGAGTTGAGTGACTGCGTAGGACATGGAGGTGATGGGAGCACATTGGTGATCGTAGAGCTAGATATTGACAACCGGAGAGAAGATCGCGAAATTTAGGTGTGCTATCAAAGCTCTATGTTTCACCTGGAACTGATGAAACAAAGATTGGAATTTATTCATTTTCACAAAATAACAAATGCCTTTGTGGTTTGTATGACGTAAATATATAGTCTATTTTCATAAAAAGTTAAAACTCTAAACAAAATATACGTCTTCTCTTCGTTTTTTTAAATTATTCTTTTGGCTTTATGTGGGTGCTAGTATCTGTGTGTGTCTCCATTATGAGATGTACTGGATAGGTTTGGTCACGAGTTAATATCACATCGGGAATCGCTGGATTCCAGGGAGTACTGAAAAGCTCCTTCATCCTAATTTGGGGTAATGTGATGCCTTCTAAACTAGGACGAAACATCTTTCCCGTACTCTCTGGTTTTTAATAGTTGTCTAATGGATATCGATCCATCGTCAGACTCGAAAACCAAATCAAATCCTTACAAATCAACCCTTGAAAATTAATATGATACTCGCTAGTGACTTTTGCTACAGGACGGAGTTTCCTGGAGTTCTGGTGAGAAGTCGTGATCAGTGAGGTCCATCCAGTCGAGAGTGAGGAAGGAGTACCTGCCGGTGAAGTTGGTTGGTGAGGGTGCTAAAATTTGTTTTCTCTTATGAACTACAGCGAAAAATGTTGATTAAGTTACGTCTCTCAAGGAATTGTAGCCATTTATTTGCATTATTTTACCTGATACAGTGAA